TGTCAGTGACATCTGCCCAGTGCTCCCTGAACCAGCCCCTCCGTGGTGCAGATTGACTGGGAATGGGAATGCACAGGAGGAGATGGGTCCTCAGATGCATCCAGACATCACACCTCTTGGTATTTAAGGGTACTATACATTGGAAGAGGATGCTTATAAAGAAACAGAAAAACACCAAACAGCTTTGGGATCACACCTCTAGAAAATTCTGAACGGACCTCTGTTTCATATGTATGTTTATCTACACATACATACATGTTTTATTCCTTTCTTAAAACTGTTTTAATATCATACTTCTGTTTATCATGCTTTTGAGTAAAAATTGAGGAAAAGACACCCTACATAGAAAAAGACATTCTCTGTGTTGGGCGTGACAGCAGAAATTCGAGTTTCTGCTCAGTACATTTGCAGAATAAGTTGTCTTTGAACTCCCTCTGGTGGTATAGAGGTTTTGTAAGAAGAAAAAGGTTTTGTGAGCTCTTGTGGAGCCTCAAATTACCTGGTTTTAGCAATGACTTTGTTAGTGTTTTGTTTTTGTTTTGGTTTTTTTGTTTTTTTGTTTTTTTGTTTTTTTTTTTTTTACCAGACTGAGCAAAAGCGTCACAATCTCTTGATTTTATTTTGTTGTTGAGCTTCTTTTTTTATGAAAACTTTTCAACATTGCACATATGAAGGTACAGGGGGTCTGCCAGCTGAATGTTGTGCTGTGTTAGACGACAACATTGGCATTAGGCTAAATGTTGGTCTATTAAATTCAAGCCTGAAAACTTCTGCTTTACATTCTGTCTGCACTGGGTGAATATCACATCCTTTTTGCTTTTTGATTAATTAGCAAGTTTTGTTTCTAAGAGGTGGGATGTTATTCCACTGAATTCTTTATATAGTTAAAAAAATTATTTATGTAGTTGAAATTGCTGGGGTCTCATAGGAATGGTCTCTGGAAAAGGTATTTTTCTGTATTTCTAGGCTCTGGGAATTCCAGAATTTCTGAACTCATTCAGAAAAACTCCATCTCTTCAAATATAACTAGACAGAACTCAGTGCATTGGTAATTTAAGAGGAGGTCTCTGCAGCAAATATTTAAAAATAAGGTAGATGGGATAAAAATAAGGAAGTGGGAATCCCTAGTTTAACTAAGCACAAGAAAACTGGAGAAGATTTTGCTCTCAAATTTTTATTAAAAAAACCCGTATCATTTAGTTGATTAAAAGGAGCAGAAACTGGAAACCTGGATTGTGAATGTTTTTGATGCTGTGGGGGATGTATGCATGTCAGCATCCCAGTTGGGACAGGGAAGTCCTTTTGAAGCTAATCTTCTGATCATTCCCTCTTGCCACCTTTGGTCCATTCTGCAGAGCAGCCTGTCAATGTGTCAGCTGAAGTCCTTTTGGATGAAATCAAAGCATCACACACAATCTAGGAGCACAGCTAATGTATGGCTCTGTTTAATGACGTTTTTTGGGAGGGGAAAAGTAAATACCCAGTTATACCAGAGAAATGACCCTGTTCTCTCCTGCCTCGGCTTATGAGTCCTTACTGCAGCCACACCAGCTGTGGGCTGACGGTATAGAATAGCAAGCCTGTGGCTCTCAAGGCTGTATCAAGGTACATACCTTGCAGACGAAAGGCAAGCTCCTACTGCTGGCTAAACCATCGGGACGCAAAGTGACCTGTTGCATCTCGCCCGAAACCCGTGGGGTTGGATGAGGGTGTTTCACAGGACCCTGGATGCTGGGGGTTCCCTTTACCAGTCCACGCTGCTGTGTCTCAATAAAAAGGATAAAAAGGACCTTATGGATGCCGTATGTTTTCACACGCTGATCGCGCACGTGCAATCACCTCCTTGCACTGCACATATCTTCCTTTCTTCATTCTGTCTTGCTGTGTGTGCTGCTGTGTTCATTTTATGACTACTTTGTACTTTTCATAGTTTAAAGTGAGTTATATTTTCCTGCTGGTCAGCTTTAGATGTTATACCTGATCAGTTTTATGGTCTGTACTTGTTAGCTTCTTTTCCCAGTTTCCACATGGGCTTCCTGTCACCAGAGTAAGTGACGTTACTTTGACTCTATGTTACTGGTCATAAGGCATAATAGAATCAGATCTGTAGAAGAAAACAGCTGAGTGTCTTGTGTACACACTGCTTACATTTTGTGATTTCCTCACTTCAGACTGACACTAGTCTGGTCCTGAGGACTGAGTCCCTTTGCCGTGCCCTAGGTGTGTTCTTGGCATTTATCTTCTTATGTTTGAGGCAGTAAGTGAGAAGGAAGTAAGACTGGAAGACAGGCTTAAAGAAATGCCTTCCTGAAGCAAACTAAAGTGCTAATGTAGATGCACTGCTTGTGAGCTGGTCTTTTGTGGAGTGCCATGTGCTTTGATTTCAGAACTGATTTGCAAGTCTGATATTTTACTCATTTTACCCATTGCTGCCTGTTTGTTGTCCGTTGTGCTCCTGCTGCATCAGCGGCTCTGCCCCTTCTGGGGCCCAGAGCTTTGCTCATCCGCAGTCTCTGCAGAGCAAGACACCTGGTTTTAGACGGATGTATCCTCCTCCTTCCAAAAAACCGCATGCACAAAAAAATTTGCTGCATGCTTTTAGGGTTTACTGGGTTTAACACCAGTTAGGACAACATACTCTGAGGATGAGGATGAGGCACAAGTAGACAGAGGATACCTCTGTGGGACTGGCTCTACTTTTGCATGGACACCTGCCCAAACTTCACTGGAAAGTGGACCAGACCGGGATGATCTGCTCTGCAGCACCCGGAGGAAAACTAAACCTGTGAGCAGCGGATGTGGTTGTCTGTCTGTGCCATGATGGGGAAAATGACCTGGGCAGCTGTGTGCATGGCTGTGAGCTTCAGCACAGGGGTCTGTTACTTGTGGTCAGGATGTCTCAGTCTGGAGAAGGTTTTGTCTTTTATTCCTGTCCTGCCTGGTCTACCAGGGAGCCTATAAAGTAGTTGCTGTTAAGTAAAGTAGTAGGCTGCATAGGGGCTGCTGTTGTCTGCCTTGTTACCTGCTTCATGGTTTTCTTTGCAGAAGCATCAGCTACATTTTCTTCTTGGGAAGCTCATACCCACACTGAGGATGCCACGACCCATCTGGATCTGCCGGTCATCCTGCATTCATCTCTCCTCCAGATAAAATTGACCTAATAACTTTTTTATTTTTATTTTTTTACTTCCTTTGTCCTCCTTAAGAGATAAATCTCACCAGCAAGCATGTGAGAGACTGTTAAAAGTAGCCTAACCAGTGCATATTTTATTTATTATTTATAGGGAAGAAAACAGAATGTTCCCCACATTTCAGCAAGTTCTTTTCAAACCTTTAAAGGCTAACTTGTTTTGAAAATACCCTCCAATTCTGCTTCCTAGTCAAAAAAAAAAAAAAAAAATCTGTATGTGCAAGGAGATTGCCCATAAATATACGATGAACAAAAGAGTAAACACCACTTCTGGTGCAAACAACAGCTGAAAATTTTGCTAACTACAGTTACCAAGTATACTGTTCGGTTATTTTCCACAGCAAGTGGCTCCAAACCCACATCTGTGTATTTTATTCCCTAGTGAGGGCTTCCTTTTTTTTTCCTTAAAGCCAGGCTGAGGTCTCTCTTGCCTGTTAATGCAGATTTTGGCTACCTTATCCTGTTCCCCAGTGAAACAAAATGAGCTCAATACCTTGGTTTATTCCTGATGCCTTGGAGCTGTGCTTTCTTCAATATTGTTAATCATTAAGCAAGACACTCAGTACCACACCTTTATTGGGCTTTACAATCACCAGTAACAGAGACAGTCGTGCGGCTTGAGTGCACAAAGTGACACCTTTAAAAAGGGAAAAGGGACCGGCTGCAGTTCTGTGACCTACAAACCTAGGAAAGAAAGCACATTAGAGAGAGGGAATTAAAACAAAATTAAAAAAAAAAAACACAAAACCAACAGGGCAAAGAACGAGGCACAGTGCTGAGGAAATGAGTGCAGAAAAGTTGAGAAAGATCCACTTGTCCCCAGCTTGTGTCTTGGGTAGCGAGACAATCTGAAGCCCCGCAGGCTGTCACAAGGAGGGTGGAGAGGAAGCACTCTCAGGGCTGGAGTCACCCAGGAAAAGCAGATGACTGTGAGGGGGACACAGGAGAGGACAGAGGGTTGGCTTTACGAGGTGGTTCTGCAGTTTATCTGTTTGCAAAAGCTCCCTCGGAAACTGTCATCCAGAAAGGCGTAGAGGAAAGGGTTGAAGCAGCTGTTGGCATAACTCAAGCTAGTGATGAAGTAGGAAATCCCAACGATGAGTGGAGTTTGTGGGATGTCTGTGGTGAGGGCCACCACTGTGCTAAGGTGATAGGGTGTCCAGCAGAACAGGCACACGGCCAGGATGACAACCACCATCATCGTCACTTTTTTTTGGCTTAGTCCAGGGCTTTTGCGTTGCAATGGAGGTGCATGCGTCTCAATCTGCACAGCATGGTGGTGTAGAGGATGCAGATGGTGGACAATGGGATGGCAAAGCCTAAAATAAGGGTGTAGATCTGACTGCCCTTCCACCACACGCTCTCAGGGTGGGGGAACACAAAGACACACTGGGAGCGCCCCTGCTCCTTGTGTATCTTAGCAAAGACAGCGAAGGGCAGGATGATGACTGTGACAAAGGACCAGACACAGAGGCTCACAATCTTGGCTGCTCGGTAGGTGCGGTAGGACATCTTCCTGGACTTGGTGGTGGCCACCACAACCAGGTAGCGGTCAACGCTCATGACGGTGAGGAAGCAGATGCTGGAAAAGGTGTACTGGTCTATGGAGATGATGAGCTTGCACATGAACTCTCCAAAGGGCCACTGCAGGAGCAGGTAGTCAGCAATGTTAATGGGTAGCACCAAGGTAATGCAATGGCCAGGTTGAGGATGAAGATGTTGGTGACTGTTTTCATCTTTGGGGCTTTGAGGATTACATAGATGATGGCGGTGTTGCCTGTCAGACCGACAGCACGGATGACTGAGTAGATGACAGGCACTGTGATGTAGAAGCTAGGGCTCAGTGAGGGAGTGGACATAATCAGACCCCCATCCCCTCTCCTGATGCAGTCTGCACATGAGGAATTGCTCTCAGGGCGGGAGGAGTTCTCCATGGCCACAGGAAAGGGTGGCCAGGCCCACTGGTGATGGGGATGACTCTGAAGTGGGCAAGGCCTCTGCTCTTCTCAAGCCTGTCTCCTCTGGTGCATCCAGCCCCCAAGCTCTCACATGTACTGCCCAACACCTCCCTGCTGGGAGCAAGGGGAAATCACTGAGGGGTCAATCACCAGCGGAGGGTCCCACTGTCCCCCCAAAGTGGCAATGGTCCCCCACCTGCTGCCCCTTCCCTCCTCCCACACCCATGGGTGCCATGTGGGGTCAGTGCCAAGCCTTGGACTCCCCCAAAATGACCACCCCAAGGTGACAGTGCTCACCTGGGAACCCAGCGGTCTGCCCTGGACACCCCTGCACCCGGCCCTGGACACTCCCCCCAGGTGCCCGTGGAGGGGCAGCAGGGTGGGGGGACATCCAGAGCGGACCACAAGACTCCTCGAGGGGAGCCTCTTTGGGATGTTCCCCATAAAGCACAACACCCCTCCCACCGACGGAGCCGACTGCTGCTGGAAGGGGAGGAAGGATGCACTGAGCTCTGCCAGCCTGGCGGCGGTGGTGGGGTCCCGGAGGGGCGCAGGAGCAGCCCGTGCGGGCGGGGGATGCCAGTGCCGCTTCTTTGCTTGATCCTGAGAGCTAAATGCGAGCCCGACTCGATGTACGCAGCGACAGACAGGCGACACGAACCGCGGAGAGGGTGGTTTGAAAATCGGGAGCTGGACCCCTGGCAAGAGATTTGTGCGATTTACCCGAAATCACATCTGTCCCCGCCGGCGGCGAGGTTCGGCAGAACAGCAAAGCGAAGTCGCAGCTCCAGGTGGCATCTGCCTGTCGCGCTGGGTCCCAGAGCTCAGCACCGCTCAGCACCCGCCCGGGGGATGCTCTTCGCGCCCAGCTGCCGGGTGATGCTGCTGGTCTCGCCACGAACCGGCGCTTCTCACGGGGTGCGGGTGTCACGCTGAAGCAGGAGGGAGGCACGGGAGTTCCCATCGCTCCGCCCGACGCTTTCACTCCTTCATGCTGTGATGATGACAGACTTCAATCTTTCACTCCTTCATGCTGTGATGATGACAGACTTCAATCTTTCACTCCTTCATGCTGTGATGATGACAGACTTCAATGTAACTCCGGGGAGGCAATC